ACATCCCAGGTGGAAGGGGCGAGGTGGAACCCGGGGCTGGGCCCGGCAGGGGGAAGCACACTTCTCCAGTGTACACTGCTCTATTTATAGTGAGAAACCAGAGAGTGGAAAAACATCACAGAATCCATATTGGAGGCAATATTCGTGAAGGAGCAGCAAAAATCGCGGTAATCCCTTTGGCAGCCTCAGGGGGGGCCGGAGTTCCCTCGGCTTCCTGCATCTATTTTTGAGACGGAGCGGCTCAGCTGCTGGAGGCATCGACCGGGAGCACGGAGCTCGGGGAGCTCCTCTGCTGCAGAGCAACTCTGATCTCCGGGCACTGTGAAGGAAGGTGACCCGCAGCCCAGCCCCTGCTCCATCCGCAGAGCTCTGGGCCTCAGCACCCGATGGGAGCTGCGTGCTGCTGCACAGAGCGGGTGGAAACCGGGGATGCGTTGACTGGCACAGGCACCAGGAACACACAAAATAAATTGGATTTTGTTTGGGGATTAATGAGGAAAATCTAGGGAGACTCCAGAGCACATCTGAGAAAACACGATAGTGGCAGTTAACTGCAGTGCTTCAGCTGTCGTTTTATCTTAACTGTTTGGCATTTGTTTGCCCAGAACCAGAGCTGTGCTGAGCAATGTCACCTCCCAGGGGATCAGGCTGTGCAGCACAAAGCACTGCTGTGGCCCTCTGCCTCTGGGAGCTGCATGCCCCAGAGAAGGCTTTTTACCTCTGCCCAGGGTGCTATCAGCAGCCCAAGTGATGGCACGACTGCAAATCTGCTCTGCTGGAGCTGCTGCTGAGCTGCAGCCCCTTCTGCTTCCTGCTGGCTGGGAGTAGGCTCTGTGTGAAGCAGATTTAATACGGACGGCCTTGCTGCCCAGACCCTTGGAAACAGTTTTTATCAGGGGCCCAAAGCAATGCAATTGCTTCTGCTACAACAAAATGCAGCTGGTTTGGGTTTTCTGATTTATCCCCTTGATCCTGGCCGTAAGGAGCTGCTGTTTGCCAGCCCATTGTTTCCCCATTGAAAACAGATGGTAGGGGGTGAGAATCTGATTGCATTCACTACAAAGCATTGACCACCAACCTGCTGGCTGGGGCACTGTGGGGGTCTGCTTCTATCCCTGGATCACCTCAACCCTGTGATGGACGTGGACACAGGGACGAGGTGCCAGCCAGCCAGCCAGCCAGACAGACAGACAGATACATGGATGCCAGCAGGGCCCATCCCTGTGCGTGCTCTGACCTCACACTGCACAGAACTCTCCCCTCACTGCCTTGCTGGGAGAGGATAAGCAGAGGAATGCTTACCACCATAGCACCTTCCTGAGGCACCAATTGGTGGATAAGGGGCCGTACAGAGCAGTCACCTCAGGGAGGGCACGTTTCTGCCAACATGGCATTTTCATTGAAATCAGTTGTTGAATCTTGCAGGAGGCGTTGATACTTAGAAGTTTGTCCTGAAAAAAAAGGATCAAAACTGCTCTGCTTCCTGCCCTGGACAGCTCTCAGCACTCCTGACAGCACTCCAGGGCACTGTAGCTCAGCACCCTGCAGCAGGCAGAGCACTGAGCATCGATGCCATGAGTGTTGCATCCCAGGAGCATTGTGCCCAACACTCAAGTAAATCCTAGCACATGCTAAACAAAGCAGAATATGCTCTTTCCTTGCTGGTAAATTTCTGCTGTAAACACCAAGATTTGATTTATTTAAACTTTTGTTCTTTTGAGGGAAAAAAAAAAAATCCATCTTTAAGCATGGGGTATCGAACTTTTCCAACTTGTTTGCACTGAAGAATGGAAGGGCTCTTCCCAATGTGCTGAGGGGCACTGAGGTCCTGCAGCAGTCCCTTAGGGGTCGGCCTCCTGCAGTCAGATCACCCTCCAGGTTGGTATTTAGCACTGCTCTGGGGATCTGCTGAGCTGCCACAGCAGCTGAGCTTGGCATCTTCCCACAGCCACCCCTCTGTGCACTGCATTCAGCAGCCAAAGCACAAAGGGCAGCAGGAGGCAGTGCTGCTGAGAGCTGCAGGGAGAGGTCCTTAAAGCTTGCTCTGTGAGCAGGATGCACATAGCTCCGTGTTACTTCTGTGTACAGCTGCACCCGGAGCCCTCAGCTAAAATTTGCAGTGTTTTCAGAGAAGTTCACAAGGGAGATCTCAGCCCAACATGCAGGTTTGTTACATCCGTCAGCACAAGGACTGTCTGCTGCTCCAGTCCTGGTGTTCAGCTCGCAGCCCATCCCACACTTACAGAGGTGCTTCGGAGTCATACGGCTGGGCGCAGAGGAGGACATTCCCAGTGTGGACATGTCAGGGTAACACCTCTGCATCCTTCGGGGAGAGTTAATATTTGGACAGTGTTAATGCATAATAGCGCTTCTGGGTTTACATTGCTGCTGTGCTGCTCCCTGCCAACCTGTGTGCTCTGCTCCCCACGCGGCACGGGGCCCAGCACTGGCACTGGGGATTTAAACAAAATACCCATTAATATCTGCAGGAGTCATGCCTGAGTAATGACTGCAGGAACAGGACACCATTATGGGCTCCGAAGGAAAATAATTAAGCTGATCAGCCACAGTATTCAGAGGGTAGCTCCGCAAATATCCTTTTTCCTCTCTCAAGAAACAAAGAATGTTTCTGAGGTTGCTTGGAACTGTGCTCTGAATATTCATGGGACGATACCAGCCTGTTTGCTGTGAGGATGAGGAAGGTCACATGCTGTAACCTTTGCAGCTCAGTGCCTCATTTCCTGCACACAAACCAACTGACAGCCACAGAGCATTGGTGCCAGCAACTGCTCGGTGACATCACAGCATGGTTGGGGTAGATGGAACCCCTCTCCCAGTTCCACCCTGCTGTGTTCTGGCTGCCCCCAAGCTCAGGCTGCCCAGGGCCCATCCACAGCCTTGGGCACCTCCAGGGATGGGGTACCCACAGCTCTGGGCAGCACTGCTGGGGCCTCACCATCCTATGAGTGATGAATTCCTTCTGGCATCCAAACTAAATCTCCCCTCTTTTAGTTTAAGGCTTTCTCCCTTGTTCTATTGGCATGCACGCTCCCGGGCAGCCCCCAGTTGGGGACACCGTGCTTCCCACACCCTGCCCAGGGCTGTGCTCTCCCCACACCCTGCCCAGGTTCCATTCCTGGTGCTTGCCAGGCAGTGTGGTTTGGCAGCACAGAGCCTGGGAACACCCATGGAAAGAGCCTGGGGGAACAGCACAGCTCTGTCCGGCACAGACACGCTCTGTGCTGCGCCTGGGGAGTGGTGGCAAATTAAAAGCTAAGGAACAAAACATCTGAATTTGGTCTGTGGTGTGTGCATGCGCAAGGCCAGAAGGAAGTGTGGCGTGCTCAGGGCTTTGTTTTGCCTTCCTCCCTCTCCATTCCCAAAGGATCAGGACCATGTAAGGCCATGCAGACACCTTACACGACCTATGCACAAACTGACCAACTGGTTACGGAGCAGCTCAAACATGAGGGGACTCCAACAGCACAGCACAGCTCTGCACAGGGAGCAGCTGTGCCTGGTTCAGGGCAGTGCCTTCAGTCCCCTGCCCCCACCCCCATCCCCTGCTCTCCCTGCTGCCCCATCCTGGCTCTCTACAAGGGCTACTTTTCCAGCCCTGCCAATCTGTTTACTTAGGTGGCCTCAAGGGAAGGTCCTGGCGAAGCACTAACAGGCTTCAGCTACAAAGGAGATCTTTATTCACTGCTCCGTCTGTTGGCCTAAGCCTTGTTTGGCTTTTTCATTCACAGTCAGAAAATGCCCATCTCTGACCTATCAGCTCCGGCTGTGGGGCACAAACGGTTACCTGGGTGCCCAACACCACGATTTGCTCAGAGGGCGCTTTGTTTCCCTCGCAGACAGAAGCTGCTTCCCTGCAGTTTTGCTCTGTTTCTCAGGAGTGCAGTGCAGGGATACCTAAAGCTGTGAACACAACGTAGGGGGTGGAGGAGTAGCACTGCAAGGTGGGCACGGGGTGATGGCAGCTGGACATGGCAGTGGGCAGCAGCCCCCCAGCAAGGGAGCAGCACAGCACCTGACTGCCCAGAGATTTACTTCCCTGCTGATTTGGCTGAAGAAGTGGAGTTAAAAAGTAAATAAAGCTCAAATTAGATTTATATAGATGTAATTAACCTCACATTTATAGAATAACACGTACCCATATGAACTTTATTTAGCTTGACAGCAGCAGCAGCTGCTGCAGGGCTCTGGGAGGGTGCTTCCACTGAAACACAGAGCACTTCATATCCGCTCCTGCCCCTCTGCATTTTTCCCCTCTGGAGCTTTAAAGAAAGTTTATCGTGGTGTTTATACAGCCACCTCAGTCTGCCTGTAGTTTACGTTTTTCTCACCTGAAGCCACTGAATTTTGAGTGATTTTAATTATAGAATCTGAAATTCACATTTCCAAATAGGGTGGAAAAGCCCATCCTCAGCTCAGCTTCTCTGTCCCTGCTGGAGGTGGCATGCAGTGTGTACAACTAAAAGTATAAAGGAGAAATAAGAAGACAATGCCTCACACTGCCCAGAAACCCACACTTTTGGCTGATGTGGGCACAGCAGGGGTTAAATGCCCAGAGGCATATCGACCCCCAGGCTGGCACAGCAGTGCTTGGTGCAGGGCAGTGCCATCCTACTGCTGCATCCCTGCTGGCCTTGGAGATACTGCAGGACAGCCAGGCAGCATCTAACAGCCTGCGCCTTGCTGCTGGAAAAACCCTTCTGAGTAAAATATTTCTGGGAAAAAAAAAAAAAAAAAAAAAGAGGATCACAAACAAGACAGCACTGCAGGAATCTGTAGATTCAGATCTGTTAAACTTTGAAAAACTGCAGATCATAGCTGCTGCTGACCAGCAGCCCAGCCTTCCTCCTGCAGCTTGTTCAGTGCAGTAGTGTGAGCTGCCTGCTGGTGTGGTGCTGTGCTGTGCAGGGCTGTTCTCAGCTGGCATCTCAAGGCATTCTGTACCTACTAAATGTCATACACAAAGCCAACATAATACAGCATTCTCAACAGAGGAGCTTTTATTTGAAACAATGGACTGGAAACAGCTGTGGCACAAGGTGCTTTTAGTTGTCACACAACACAGTCTGCCTGAGGGCAATTCCTGCCATACACTGTAACCTTGTGAGACACTTCTGTTTCTATCAGTTTTCTGGCAGGATGCTCAGTGTGCTGCCTGCCGATGACTTTTGGCCAGACAGGCCAGCAAATCTGCACAGATTTGGCTTTCTTAATAACTGGAGCTCATGGCATGCAGGAGGTGTGCAGCAGCCTCTTTCGTTCCAGCTGATAAACCCAGCGACAACGCAGCATCCTCACCCAGGTGAACACCTTCTCATGCCTACACCGAATTTCAATTTTACTATCAAAACTAAAGACTCACATATGGTTTGAGCTGCTAGATGCATTAATTTCACGCTTCTGCTCCTGACACTTGAGAGGCACAGGATTTTGCTAAGCAGTTTAACTGCAATACATTTTTCAGCAGGCAGTATTTTACAAGCTATAGAAATGCCTAAAAAGGCTCAAGTGGACGCCAGCAGTCCCAAAAGCCTGAAGCAGGCATGTATATGCTGACAGTGGGACTACACTGAATTACAAGTTATAAATCACGAAATCAAGGTCCAAACCAGCACATGCTGCAGTGGTGTCTTTTTTTCCAAGTAATGAAATAAAGCTGTTAGCTATGGAAGATTGCATTAATGCAGAATGCAAATGAAGTTGATGCTACCAGGTATGGACTATGATCAGAACCCAGCAAGATAAACTCACGACTAAGGCACTTGTGTTGAGGACAGTCTTTATCTGCAAGATGGATGTGAAGCCAGGACAACGCAAAGAGCGGAGCCTTTGATTCCATTACAGAACAAGCAAGACCAGATGCAGCAGTAAGACAGCAGCTTCATTTACCCAAATACTGTGAGGAGACAGATGCCCACTTGGCATCCATCTGGGAAAGCCTGGCCTCCCCAAATTCCTCTGCGTTGACATTTACCCACCACCCACATTCCTCTAAAGCCAACACAGCCAGAACCTCCACCCAAGCCTCTACAATTCTTTTAACTGTGATGGGGTGGACAGACAGCCCCCTCTGCCCAGCACGTGGGGATGAGGAGCAGCCCTGGAGAAGCACTTTGAGGATCCCTGAGCACACCATGCTGCTGAAGAAACACCCCAGAGCCCCCTGAGGACGGGCTTACCCCCTTCTCTGTTCATTGCAACACAAACACATGGCAAGGACAACGCAGCCAACCAAGGCAAAACAAAACAGGGCAAAACACACCCAGTGAGAGGCCACAGCAGCCTGTTGGCAGTAGTTATTTGGTTAATTTTCTTTCACCTTTAATAACTGGATGTTTTATTGATTTTTCTTGCACTTGATTTGTTGCTGTTCCGAAGGTGTGTAATGGCTGTGCCTACTGTGTAATGCTGTGCCCTATCTCACAGGGAAATCACTCTAAGAGGTAACTGGCTGCACGTGTACATGGACAATGAGTTCCCATCAAGGAATGCTGTTTGGATGTTAATGTCTTTGCTGAAATGTTTCTTTCCTAAGTGATTCATGCTATTTCTCTCACTGCTTACACTGAGCGTATGCGTTTTTGGCTGCCTTAACACTGTAGGGTTTAGAACTATGCCACGTCTTTAAAAATAATTTACAAAGATTGGCCATTTCCATGTAACAAAACGAAGAAGAGGCAATAAAGCTAAGCACTGGGTTTTATTTTTCAGTTCCACTTTGCTTATAACTGAAGTGCCTGTATGTAAGGCTGATCCAAGGAAGCTTTATTATTCCTCCTAGCACAACTTCAAACTCAAATCAAGGCATCCTCTGGTGGCTTGTGGCTACAAGCATATGGAGGTGTCTTACATCACATCTCTCTCAACTGCCCTAAAACAGTGACCAACTCTGCTCCTCCCATGGTGGGGCACAGCATCCCTGTGACTTGTATGCAATGGCAGGCACAGCTTCTACCAACACCCACTGGCAAGTTGCTCAGTCATAAAGAAGATCCATGGAGAGCATGGAGTGGACTTTAAAGAGAGACCAGCAATTTCCGCAGTAGAAGGAAAACCTAGCAATTGTGAGCTCCTTACACACATCTCTGCAAAAAAATATTCCAGTTGTTTCTGGCAAAGAATGTAGACATTTAGTATAAGAAAAATGACTGAGCACACCAGCGTTGGCCAGCCTGGCCTCATTGGCATTTTCTGTGACTAATGTAAGCGTTGCATGACTTAGGAAATGAACATCAGCAGCAGAGATTTAGTGCAGATCCTGGAACGATGTCACCCCAACAAGACCTGGAGCACAGGGCTGACCTCGCTCAGTGTGTTCACCCCTGCTGGATGGAGTCACTGACATACTATGGGGGAAAAACTGGTGCTGCAGCATTTCAGGCACCAAAAAGCCAACAGGACAGATTAGGCTGGAAAGCTGTTTTCCATAAAACTCCTGCTCAAAAAACAGCTGAAAAAGTTCCATACTTTAAATGCTTAACTACCTCCAGTGTATGGCAGGAGCACAATGCCTCTCTGTGCAAACACTCCCTTGAAATAACAGACGGTAGGAGGCAAGCAAGATAAAACTGGGAACAGGGGTTGGGTGAGAACTGCCAGAAGTGTTTGCATTCCAGCTCCACGGCTAAAACCCAGACTGGCGGAATTAGTTGGCTGCCCAGCACTCGCCTGCCCTCGGGGGGATCTGCATGGCTCCGTCTCACTAAGGTTCAACCAATCGCTCTGTGTGCCATCTTGTTACTTGCTTTTACATTATTGTACACATTGGAGAAAGCTACAGCTACATGTTACTGCAATTCTATATAGTGTGCTTTCAGAAAGTAATCACTCGGGTTAATCAATTTGTTCAAAACCATTGATTTAGTACAGTTGTCATCATTGTTAGTGCGAGATTTCCAGTATGGATTTCAGAAAATAAAAGCAACCCTTGTTTCTAACCATGACCATAGGTTTAGTGTGCCAAAAAATATTTTTGAGATGTGTTATTTCTGAAAGAACACTGCAAGATGTCAGTCATGAGAAGCTTTGAGAGACTTTGTAAAACAACACAAATCTCTCCTCAGTGCCCTCTAACACGGTCTGTGGGTACATCACACCCCACACGCACACACATTTCTCCTGTTTCCTCCCCTAGTAAACTTCTTTCTTCAATCTCTATTGGATGCAAAGGGGTACTTGGTTGCTTGCAAGCGAATAACCAGACTCTACATTTTTTTTTAACTGTCCACTTTTCATGTCAAATTACCCCATCTCCAGCTCGGCCTCAAGCACGTGCAGCAGCCGCGCGGCTCAGAGGCGCTTGCTCCGGCTGCAGGTCGCGCACCGCAGGCTGCCCTTGTCCAGGCTGAAGGCTTTGCCACTCAGCAGCGTCTCGCACTCCAGACAGGCGAAATGCTTCTTATGCCAGGCCATCCCCTCTGCCCGCTGAAACTCCTCCGAGAAGATGATCTACGGGACAAACACAGCGCTGCTCGTTTCCGCCACCCCACTGGGGCAGGCGGCCCTTGGCAGCGGGACGGAGACACCGCGGGCCGCAGGAGGAGCAGGGCCAGGCCGCCGACACAACACACGGCACCCAGGGTGCCGTCACCCCGTGCCCGGGGCCCAGCTCCTCGCAGCCAGCGCAGCGCAGCCTGCGTTCCCAGGCCATACCTCGTCGCAGCCGGCACAGCGCGGCCGCAGGCTCTCGCAGTAGTGACGCCCGCACCAGGCAGCCCCGCTCTTCCAGAAGTAGATGAGGTCGACGAGGGGCTCGGCGCAGCGGCAGCAGACGAAGCAGGCCGGGTGCCACAGCCGCGTGTAGCCCGCCCGGTCTGCGTACACCACCGGGCAGTCCTCCGGCACCGCCTGCTTGCAGGTCTCGCAGCGCTGCAAGAGAGAGCGTAACGCTGGCGCTTCTGCTGCAAAAACTGCGGCAATGGCACTGCTGCCTGTGCTGCCTGGCTTTTTAGACACTCTCGTTCGTGGCATCTTTTGGTATAGTTCCTATATAGTTCCTATCCACCCATTTGGCAAAGCAATTACAGTGCATGCAATGGCAAATGCTTCCCACCATGAAATGGTCTGAAGGGACCGCTGTGCTCTGCTCGACATCCCGTATTGCCAAGGACAGGGGAAACAAAGCATGTAATCCTGCACTGCTCAGGCTGTTTTTGTCCTAGCTCTTGCTCCGTGAAGATAAATTTAAGAATGCCAAAGCCAAATTTCAGCTTGAAAGGCACAGCAAGCAGAAAGCAGTCTGCAGTGATGCTATAGAAACCGCAGTGAGGTGAAAGAGCAAGAAAACACTGAACTGAAGAGAAAGAGATGCGTGCAGCTCAAGGAAAGGACTGGAAAAAATGTCTTAATCCTGTGGTGGGGCTCAGTGACACTGACAGAATCACAGAGCACTCATGGCCAACAGGAGCGACATCTCCAACTGTATTGTCTTCAGTAAACATTTGGACAGTATTAAGTATGGATTGAGCACCAAATCTTAATTAAAAGTCATTATAAATGTGCATCTGCCAGCCCTCATCTGGAACAGTGCTCACGGCCTTCCAGCCAAGTCCTTGGGCAAGTGAGACTGGCACTGCCCACTGCCAGCTCCATAAATGCATGGCCTCAGGGGAAATCCCCCAGAACAGCCAACCTGTACTAAAGTCCAAATGTTATCTGAGAAGAAGTTAAGTCATACCACAGTGCAGAAAAATGTGTCGTGTCAAAGACAGATACTATGCACAGAAATAAGGAGCTTCGGTCTTTTCTAATTACTTCTTAACAAGTATGTCTCTACATAAGGCAGGTGTCACTCTGCACATTTCAGCACTGCTCTCAATTTACAGCAGTCCAAAGAGACGGACTGGGGTGACTCTGTCTGTGCCTGCAGGGTGACCCTATGGGTGGCTAACAAGCTCTGAAGCCCTGCTCTGGCAATCACGTCCAAGCGGGGCTGGCGGGCAGTGACTTCAGCTCCCATTCAATCCAGCTCACGCTCCTAAACAGCACTGGGGCTTCATCCAGCACAGTCTTGATGGCAAGGCCAGGCCTCCTCCATCAAGCATCAGCACTGCTTTCATAAATACAAGGTGCAGCGTTAAGCAGCTTGCCTGTCATATGGCCAAGTATGGGCTGAAAGCCCCATAAAGCTGATGCTGCTGCAGCCTTTCTTTCTTTGTGCCTAACTGCAGAGAATTTTACCCACTGTATCTAGCCCCTCTGTGCTAGTTTCTAGTATGAATACTAAAAAGATCATTCTTTTTATCTAGGGAGTTTTCTCCAGCCTGCATTTCCCTTCCCAGCAGCAGGCTGTGGGTCTGCTCTACCTACACCCACCCAGCTGCTTTGTAGGGCAAGTATTCCTAGCATGCCACACATTTTGCTAGTGCCTCCTCCTCTGCTCAGTCTGGACTTCTGGGAACTGCCCCACGCAGCCCCATGATCAATTCCACAGAGTGACAGGCATGTCCTGCTTTAGAAGCAAATCTGGAGCCGTGGAAAAGGCAGTACAAGAAGACACATATCCAAGCCTGGAAGGGGATATGCCTGCTTCTAGTGCTCCATCAGCCCTTCTGAGCACTTGCAAGAACTATGCAAGTGAGCAGATAAGCTTCCAATGAGCTGCAGAAGCCATGCTCTTTCTGTTCCTCTAGAAAACAGAAAAACAATCCCACTACAGGAAGTGACAGCCCATGGTGCAGAAGTGGGCTGGCCATGTGCGATGTGCTGTACCTCAGCATGGGCAGACCATGAGGGAAGCACTCTGTGCTGAGCACAGATACGTCCCCGCATCCCAACAGCTTCCCAGGCACCAGCCCCAAGCAGCAGCTCACTGCTCAGGGCACCCAGCCTCACTGCTGCCTTCCAGCAGCCTCCGGGCTCACCCAGCCCGGCCTCGCTTATCTTGCAGGATCTAGCAGTGAGAACAAACACGAGCAGCTTTCCAAGTCTGAGCTCAAATTTCTTGCCAAAAAGAACTACTAAAAGAAAAAAAAAAAAAGAAAAAAAAAACCAACGTAAAACTAAACCCCCCACTTATTTTGCTGCTTCTTTCTATTGCAAATTTTCACCATGCTTTTCTGAAGCATCACATAACTTGTATTCCTCTACCAGTACCACTCTAAAGAAAAAGTGGCTCTTCAAATTTAAGATGGGGTTACATTAAGCACTCACTTTACACCTCCATCATGTAGGAGAGGAGTGAAGACTTCATTAGTGCTGTTGCCAGAGGTGCTGTCCAAGAACGCATCCTTCCCCCCCTCTGTTTTTCAGACCTGCTCTCCCCCCTGGCTGCAGCTCCCACAGAAGGAGTTCCTGCTCGGTTTTGCTGGCCTCAGATCTGCTGGAACAACGGCTAACTTGGGCCAATAGCTTAAGGATCTGATGTGTTTGTTTCCAGCACGGTGGCTTACAGCACCGGAGGACTTTGCAGTTCTGGGAGGGTTAAAGATATTCTGTGCTTGGTGGAAAGCATTCAGCTAATAGGACAGCCATGTTGCTGTGGGGCCCCTCTCTGCAGCCGAGAAAAGTTCAAGAAGCCATGTGAGCTCAGACGCCTTGTCCACAGTGATTTACGTTGGCCCTGTTTGCTTTCCTTTACACACCATTTCAACACAGCTGGCCTGAACGTGCAACAGGAGGTTCAACTGCCCAAACACAGGACCACACAGACACCTGAGGAAACTGTCTCAGTTTATTTCTTGGTGCAGTGCTCAATGCCTTTTGGGTCATTCTCTTCTAAAGCCAGAGTGTTTTACACCCAGCCTTCATAAATCCATGGCTCAGGCAGACACCTTGATCTGAGATAGGTGAAACCAAGCTGCTGGAGCTGACCGAAAGCTTTGGTATCAAATAGGTGAGAGTCTGTGCCCCACTCTTAATGGACTCAAGGAAGAAACATGACAAACTGCTCCAGAATCAGAATCTCCAAAATATGCAGTTCAGCACCCCACTGCCCTCAGTCCCTAACCCAAAGGCACTCATCTCTTCCCAAAAAGCCTTCCTCGCTGCTCTACAGAAACAGGTCTGGGAGTCTGGGATACACAGAGGAGGAGAACACCCACCTCAAGCCAGGCCTGGTGGGCTGCCTCCTTGCTCTATGGGGCAGGTACCCTCCTCCTCCTCCTCCAACCTTGTGATATCCAACACAGATTTAAGTTACTACAGAAAGGTCTGTTATTTTTCTATGGCAGAACTTTTATCCCCATGCAGTTTTGTAAAAACCAGCAGGCCTTCTGGAATTCCTTACTGTGGGATACAGTCCATTCACTTTCCTTCAGCTGCATTAATTCCTGCACTGCAGATCACATTAAAAATGACGAGTGTTTTGTTAGAATGGGAAACAGGAGGTCTGCCTTTGGTACAGAAAGAAACCACAGCACTCTGGAGCTTGCTGCAAGCTGAGCTGCACAACACATTGGTCAAAGAGTAGCTTCTGTGATTTTGCTGCAATTCCATTTTCCAGCCAGTGCCTCAAGAAAAATAATGCTTTATACTCTAAGGAGAATAACATCCAGTTATGTATTTATTTAGAAGGACAGACTTGTAGTCTAAATAAACCCTAATTGCTACGATGACTTTTATTAATGAGTGTAATGGAAACCTTCCTTGTTTTTTTTTTTTTTTTTTTTTAAACTTGAAATTCTTTGTCCAAATCAATGTTTTACTGCAATACTGAAAAACTTTTACTGCATCACTGGACTCTGAAAGTCAGATATGTGTTAATAGAAAAGGACATAGCAGAGGAGAGACATTACCCAATATGGAATGAAAATGAAAACTGCTCTTAACATGTTACAATCTCAGTTTAGTAGTTGGTAGAAAAATCTTGCCTTAAAAACATTCAGATACCATTTCTCCAGCTCTAAGTCCTCTGCTGCAAGTTACCCTCCAGGGCCAGAGAGAAGTATTTTCAGTCAACACATGTTATGATAAGCATGTGTTCAGCAGTCACCATGGCCACTCAGCTGCTCTTGGAGAATATAAATCTAGACGGGCATTAGGGAATCTCAGTTGTTTCCTTGTGGAAACGTGTTTCTAAGGCCAGAGACATGTGTGCTCTGCACCAAGTTCCCCAGGCAATTGCAGCCTGGTACCACCTCCGTGTTCACAGCAGTGTTAATGAGGCTGAGACACTGCCTCCTCTTGCTTGCATTCCTTCACTTGCACTGCTCTAGAGGCAGAGCCAAAAATACTTGCTAACATGCTGTAACACACAGCTTCTGATCTTATTTACACCCATCACCTGGGAACAGATCATATTCAATCTTTCAGAGCTGCAAAGAATCCCAAGTTGAACTCACTTGTTCTCACAGCAAACAGGGAGAAGAGGCCTTTGCCCACCTTGGTGGTTCACCAGGTATGTGCTGCCAAGGACAGACAGCCCTTCCCCGCTGCCTGGATGGGTACAGGTGGCACCCCGGGGCCTCTCAGTGCCACACCACAGACCTGGTGATGTCAACGAGCATCGTCTGCTCTGCATGGGCGTCCCAGCACTCGGACAAGCGGGAGCAGAGCAGCGAATGAGACATGATAGCTCCCACCTGTCTGGCACTGATTTTCCAGCCGTAGCCCCCAGAAGCACCCATCCCTCCAGGCAGGACTTACGTAGAGCCCCGCAGTGGCCGTGCTCTCCAGGGCCCCGTTCGTGGTCTCGGGGGGCTTTTCGGCTGCCGGGCCCGCATCCTTTGCCTTGCCCTCCTGCTTTGCATTGCCAGCCTGGCCCGGCAGGGCCACCTCCCCAACGCCCAGCGCCTCCGCCTTGTACTTCTTCACAAAGTCTTCCATCAGCTTCACCTCACCCTCGGCCAGGCCGCGGCACTGTGACGGGTCATGGTCGTGCACCGGGAGCTGCCGCACCAGCTGCCGCCGGCGGTAATGGGCACCGTCAGTGCCTGCCACCGGCTGCATCTCCTTGGGGATCAGCTCCATGTACTGCATGGCCTGCGAGGGTGAGAGGTGACAGTCAGGCACGGACCCCCACCCTGCCACCCCTTTAGCTTCTGACTGGCACGTGGGCAACGAAAAACCAAATGCACTCGATGCAAGCAGCAGCCAGACACTTGAGCGAGCTGGCCACAGGGATCAGGGCTCGAGGGACACGTCACTCATGGAGGGGAACTCAGAAGGGCACCCCAACCCCACCTGGCATGCACACAGGGCAATTTACGGTAAGAAATCCCTCTACAACTCCCATAAAGTCCTAAACAGGAAAGAGCAGTCAGATGGCTGCTGAGCCTGAATCTCCAAGGCCAGCACTACCAGACTGATTGTGCAATAAAGGGAAGGTGTTTTGCCACGGATGCCCCGCCATGCAGTAGATGAATGCCAAGAAACCATCCCCAATGTTCCATTTCCTACCCAGCTGGCCACTTGCCACTCCCATAATAGCAGTGTGAGCGGATCTTGGAGAGGCTCATCCTTGGAGAGGCTCACCCACATCTGCAGGAAGGGGCTGTGCCATTTACTTCTTGCTGGCCCAGTGCTTGAAGGGAAGGGAGTTTCCTACTCAAGGCATTTTTCCTATTGTAGTGTGAAGAGCAAACGGGCAGCCAGTTGGCTCTCTGCCACCGAGTTTTAAAGACCAGCATCCAGCTGCATTAGATTTGTTTCTTACTTGGTCAGCATTTGAAAACTGAATTTTAAAGGAATGGAGAAGTGATTAACTATTCACTGTACACAGTCCGGCTCAATATGGCCTTTTAAATACAGAAAAAGAACTCTGAGCAGCTCATCACACTTGTGTAAACTTCAAAGTCAGCTTCCACTTTGTCTGCCTTCAGCCAAACAGCAATATTTCAGGGCAATATTTTCGCTTGCAGCTCTATGACAGCACCAAATAAATGATTTAATGAAATCACAGCTTCTCCCCCATGTCTTGGAGCATATGTTAACCTTTCTGCACGCTACATTACACATCAAAACTCAGTCTGTTGTGACTCCACGCAGTGACAGGATGGATACCTAGAAGCCTGCAGGGGCACGGTCACAGCCTTGTGGGAAATGGTGCTGCTGGGAGGAACTGGGTACAGAGCTGGGGGATGCTGTGAAAGTGATCTGCTACCAAGATGGCTTTCACAGAAGTCAGGAGACCTAACAGAAACTACAGAAGCAAAAGACAAAAATTCACTTAAAGCTCATGCCAGGCCTCACACAGAGTGCCTCACAGAATAAAGATACAGCCATTAACACCTGACAGTTGGAAAGAAACACAACCAAAACAATTATCTGCTGTATGGTGAACTTTGAGACAGAGCTCACAATGCAGCCTGCTGGCATGGCTCAGCTGCAGCAAGAGCACCAGCAGAGAGCAGTGGTGTGGTGTAACCCTAGTGAAAGAGACCATTCCACAAATGGGCCAAGGCTACTGCACCCTCACACCAGATCTGGGAGAGCAGAACGTGCCAGAAGTGCATCTGAAGCACCTCACTGCACCCAGTGCCAGGCTCTGAGCAACATCTCACACTGCTCCTAAAAGGGTCTGTGTACTGAAGAGCAGCAGTTCCCAGTGTCTGAGCAGACATTCATTGTGACTTCACGCCCTGGCCAAGGGAATGCCTACAGATACAACTGCACATGTCTTAAAACGTGTCCAGAGAATAGACCAGGAAAATAACACCAAAAACTGAAGGGTAATAAAAAGCTGCTTCTTTTGCTACTATTGTGTATTACTGCTGTCAAATGCTATTTTATGGTGCCCACGTACAGATAATTTTGAGAAAGGCCATTTTAGCTTTTCACCACTAACTTCACTAACTTCTGCATTTTGGAGATATTTTAGGAAGTACTTTATCCACTTTCCCCAAGGACCCCACATATCTACCTCCTAACTTGCCGAGGCAGAGCTTGATAAAAACATGCCCCAAGCTTCCCCTGTTACTGGGCCATCCACTTCAACACAGCATTATAGAAAAAAACACCCAAGTTTCCACTTTGCCATCAGAAGGAAATCACTGGAGTGAGTCAGTTATACACTAAAAGCTTTTTGGCCAAAGTCCCTTTAGAACTATCACAAGAATTGTAGACATCCAGTAATTTTCCCAAGTCTGTCAAGTTGATCATTAAACCAAAATTTATCAAGATTGTCTTCAAAGTTCCTGAGCACTGTTTATACGAACTAAAACTCTTTCCAATCTGTTTAGGCACAACTTCAGCCTCGAGAGACAAGAAGTGCCAGGGCTCCATGAAGCACCTTCACTTTGAGCCTTCTGTGTTGCTGGCTCAGCGTTGCATCCTGCTGCTTGGAGCTGTGCACTGCAATGCAAACCCACATCTGCAAAAGGGAACATCTGTGCTCAGTGCCACAAAAGTGGAAACAGTGGGACGGCAGCGGGGCTTGGGAACAGAGCAGCCCTGCCCGGGGTGCCAGGTGCTGCAGCACTGCCCTGCAGCCAGCTTTTAGCAGTGAAAATTCAATTCCTGATAAATGCAGGGCTGGGCAGCATAATTAATAAATCACATGCTAGGCTGGAGAAGTGCCATCATTGTTCTCCCCATCCCTCAGCAAGTTCCCTAATTCCCCCCGGGACCTATGGAAGGAAAACATTGGTTAAACAAACATTCCTGCTGTGCTAGCTCCAACTCACAAAAAAGAAAGAGGAAACTACAGGCGGTAGCACTGCGACTGAACAGCCAGACAGTGAAACGAGTGGCAGCCCTGGCCCTGCACTAATGCCAGGGCTCTGCTCCTGGCAGCCCCGGAGCAGCCCTCCAGCTGTGTGCCCAGCAGGGCCCTCGCAGCAGGGTGAAGGCTGCTGGGCTTAAGAATAAATAACCAGCCTGTCACTTGAGTTTGCAGCGGCAATTTCACATTTGTTTCCCAATTTGTCTTCTAAAAAAAAATCTGGTTGCAATTTTAAGTAGCTTTAAACTATTTGCATAATTTGAAGAGCAAAGGCTGTCCACTAATGAGGATAATGTGTAATATTTCCAGCACCACAACAGTCAGACATCAAATGCTTTCCCTCCAGAAGCCCTCTCCTGCATTCTCTGTACCACCCAACCTTCAGGCTGGACATTAGGAACAATTTCTTCTCCAAAGAGCTGAGGCACTGACAGAGGCACTGGTATGGGCTGCCCAGGGAGTGGTGATGTCACTGTCCTGGGGGTGTTCCAGAACTGCGGGGATGTGACACAGAGGGATGCAGGCAGTGGGCATGGTGGGGGTGGGCTGGGGGTTTTAGATGCCTTCTCCAACCGTAATGATTCTGTGATTCTTCGCGGCAGGCAGATGGGATCTCTCCTCAGCAATAGTTTTATAGGACACGAACGTTACCAAAGGAGCAAGCGTTCTTGTTGTAAAACATGTAACGACTTCTACTAGAAATGTAAGCTAGCCTATAAAAACCCAAAGGCAACACGTTCCTCTTTTCTACCTACTTTGGATATTTACACAGTTTTCCAGAACACTAAGCATTATGTGCATGTTTGCCAAGGCAAACCCCGAGCTTTGCTGTTCTTCCTGGCAACTGTGCTGCAGGGCCGAGCTGTGCCCTGCTGGAACCAGCTGCTGTTCCCTTACCAGCTTCTGGGTGAGCCCCGGCGGAGCCCACTCGTATGTGATGGTGTCGAAGGTGGGGTCTTTCCTCGACACGATGGGGTTGGTGATGATCATACGGTTCCTCTTGTAGATGCGAACGCCGTCCCCTCCTTTCACACGAGCAGTGAGTGTGGCATACTTCGAGTCTGACAGCAGGCGGCCAATTTTCCGGTCGTCCTCCACATCCGAGCTCAGGCAGTGGTCCTCCTGGCTGCATTTGCACGACTTGCATATTTTCCTATGGGCGACAAAGGACATCATGCTTTTAATATGAGCATGGAGGCTGAAGGCTCAGCCACGGAGCTCCCGGCACGTAGGAAGGTTTAAAGGCACCCTGGGGTGTGAGATCAGCCAAAAGGCCTTCCTGGCAGGATTCCTCGGGAGCCTGGCACTCAGCTAGTTGCAATGGCTATAAACCAAAGAGAAGCCTGTAAGAGCATTCTCTGCTGGCCAGCATTTCTATCAAGTTTTGAAAAGACTAACTCTAATGCAAGCCCAGGGTCTTGTATTCCAGTATTCCAGCAGGGTCCTGGAACAAGCAGGATTGATTCATAATAGCAGCTAATTGCATCCATAAAAGTAAAACTAAAGGTAAACTTTTAAGGGTAGGAGAAGTGAAGGAAGGGGATGGGAGCTGGTCCCCGCTCAGTGCTCACACGGGCAAGGCACTGTGGCCCTTCCACACCCTCTGGCAGCACTCAGAGCTCTGTGCTTTCTGTGCACTCAAGGCCAATGACATGGCAGGACATGAAGGGGTGCACGCAGGGACAGGGTCCACCCCAGCAGACATTACCTCCAGGAATGTGGCTCAAAGCCCATACAGGTCCCTCTGCAGCGCAAACACGGCACCCCTCGTCCTGACTGCGGCTGGCTCATGGACATCTGGAACAGAGCAGGACACCCATGGGGAAAGGTTTGCTTCTTGATCCTTGGCATTCTCAGGGATAAAGTGTTTTTCCTTAAATTGAGGGAAGGGCAGCACCTGTTGCAGCACGAGGCAGCAGCGCTGAGACGCACAGTGCCGAGAAACCAGCAGGGCTGAGCAAGCGGCACCAAGGAACTCCCTCTGCATCTTACACAGCACCTCATAGCAGAGAACAAGCCACAAGGTGCTCGTCCTCAGCAGCACACTCTGGTACCCCAGTGCTCAGGGGCACTGTCAAGCGCCAGATTGCTTGAAGGCTGGCTCAAAGCTACCATGCCCTCCTTGGTGCCTGCTCCCACACACCAAGTTTCTGTACACAGTCTTTATTCCAGAAGTGCTGGCGTGTGCTAGGCACCAAATGTTTGCATACACATGTGGAGTCCCTCAACACACAGCTGAGGTTGCAGAGCTTATGAAGGGGCAGTGCCTGCCTGGCAGATCTTAATTCAGCCCATGTTGTGACTCTCCTCTGTTTCACCACCCAGCACCTGCTGTGCCCCCAAAGCCCAGCTCCTCCCTCGGTGCCCACCACATCCCTCTGCCCCGGGCAGCAGCACTGGGGCTCTGCTGGTGCTCCCCACCCTTCCAACACTTGAGAAGCCCAGTAATGCTAATCAGGATGAAATGTTTAAGAGCAGACGGTTCCAGAAACTGCAGGACACTGCTTTGCTGACATTACGGCAATCCACAAAAATACGTTTCTAGATGTTCTAACGTGCATTTGAGTGTATGCACACACATCCCCCTGCCTCTGACACGCAGAAAACAAAATGCTTTTGGATGCTCAGTTCAGAGCCAGCTCTCCAGAACAGGCATTATGGTTCCAGCACAGACCACAAAACATCTTGTCAGTTCTGGAACAGTGCTAGCTATGTACCAACTCATTTCTTTCCTTTTTTTTTTTTAAATTTAAGTAATCTCTTATCTTAATGAGTCACACAGAAGCTGAGTACAGACAAGGGACCATGAATGTTTGTTTATTCAAAATGCGAACATCTGGATTAAATAAACTCCTCTGGAAAAGTCTCATTATACAGTCCATGTGGAGAAGCAAAGAAGCTTTGTCAGCAGCAGGAGCTGTGGAGCACTGAGCAGGACAGCCCAAGGCTTCGCATCGCTTCCATTGATGCAATGCCCTCACCAAGTCCTGATCACACACCTTTCCCACCAGGAGCTCCACATCTCTTTGGAAACCTCTGCTTGCAGGTGTCCATAGCAGGATTTCACAGAGCACAGCTCTTCAATGTGTGTGCAAGCCACTGGTATACAGCTGTATGGGAACTGCTGAACCGCTGATTGATCACTGAGCCAAGGACTGGGTCAGCCATGGGAGCACAGGTGAGGGCAGTTCAGCTGTGTGACCAGAAGGGGTGGAGCCTGGCTGCACCTCTCTTAGATCCCATTTAAGGGCTGACTGCCCCTGGAGGAGGATTTCTTTTTGGAGATCCTTCTTTTGGAGTGTTCTACTACAAGCCTGGAACACAAGTGGGCGTTTCATTTTTGATTGTCTCTTTTCACCACAATAATCTTTCTAACTATAAACCTGTAAAATACCATCTTAGCCACGCCTCTCTTTGAACTGTACTTTTGTTAATTGTACAACAGCCATAGAAAAATGTATGGGATAAATGCTATGAAAACTCAGCACCTCCCCAGGGCGACATGTAGCTCCTGTCACTGCCCTGGCAGCACCTCCCCCTGTGAGATCTCAAGGCCCTGGAACATCTCCATCTGAAGGACTGCATGGTTCTTTCTCCTTTAACAGTGAGGGGAGTTTCCATCTTTGTGCAGTGATAACAGGAGCCCATGTCTGCTTTGCTGGCTGCCTGGTCAGCAGCACTTCCTGCCCAGATATGGAGCTTCATCTCACAGCTCAGCTTTAGCTCCTCAAATATGCATAAAAGGAGATTTCTTCTTTAAAACAGAAAAGGGAAAAAAAAAAAAAAAAAAAAGATGGAAACCCCACCGAACCCAGTAAGAATGTGAAATAAGATGACTGCCTTCGATTCTGCCAGTGTCCAAACCCATTTGGGAACAGCAGCGTTAAAAAAGACGCATGAGTTTAAGATATGAAGAGTTTGAAGGCTTTTGTAATGCCTTTAGAAAATGTCTGTGTCAACAAACTGCTTGGAAGAAATGCAAATTCTGCTCCCCATGACTAGATATACCATGCATTTTAAGACTTCTATTTTGGCTTTTTGTGTCTTATAGCATTCTTGCTACTAAGGGAAAGCAAGTCAGTGCAGAGGAAATTCTTAGGCGGTGAAATGATAGGAAATTGAGGCCATTCTACCCACAAAAACATCTCTGAACAATTTCAGGAATACGCCAGCCTCTTGGTCAGTGCAGTACTGTGGCTCATTACACTGGCCAAAGAGAAGTCCATCCTAGACACTGGCTAGTTTGCTCAATTTTTGGAAAAAAAGAAAACCTACAATGACAAATGTCAGTGTGGAAAAAAAAAAACTCATTCTTTTTGGTTTAGACTTGTCTGTTTTGGAAAGGAACAGTGGGCTTCCAGGATGGCCAGACAGACCCTGGTTAGAAGCCATGAGCTGGCCAAGATGCAGCTCCACCAGCCCTGCTCAGCTCACAGTTAGCTGAGATTTCAGAAGACCTTTCCTGGCATATCACCACTCTCTGAGCACTCCAGCACACCTTGGCTATAGTCCCTTTGGGTCTGCTGAGGTTCATTTGAGTTTGTTGCGAGGGGCCATACTCAATGGCACACAGAGGAAGAGCTGTTTTCACATCCAGGTGACTTGAGAACCCTTTTAGATAAGCTTCTTTCTACTCTTTTCACAACAGTGATTTTAAGTGCCATTTTGTACATCTGAGAAGAGGAGACTCCAGACTAAGCTTGGTTAGCATCTCCCAGGCAGCATTCCTCTAGTAGAAACCATGCCATCCCCAGTCCAGCGCTGCAGGGAATCACACCAAGCTTCTGGATCACTGGGAGGCCAACGTGGAGCACCCAGGGCAGAGCACACACAGCAGCTGCCACAGGCACAGACCTTCAGAAATGCCCCCTCCCTTCCACAGCTGCACCTCCAGTGCACAAATACTTCCCACTGCTCTGTGGGGTTGGCTCAATATGGACACAGAGCCTTGTGCACACATCCAGCCTAAAGCTGCAGCAATGAACAGCTTACCAGCAAACACATCACATCCTCAGTTGGGATGAGGTCCTCCTGCAGCCAGTGATGAGCAGGCTGACAGGACTTCATGGCATGGAAAAACATCTATTTAACACAGAAGGACAGGGCAGCTCTAGCTCCCAGGATGCTCATTCCATGAGATGCAACTGCTTTATGGGAACGGGTAGAAGAAATTCAATATTAGTACAAATTGAACAGAGTTTCAAGAAGGGCAGCATGGGAAAGCTAACATCCTATAGCTGTTTTTGCAGAGAGGTGATTTATCTCATGTCACAACAGGATCAGGAAGCTCTTAATGTCTGTAACACAGATTAGCCAAGTGCTTTCCTTTAAGGACTTTGAGATAAGAGAGAACAGAGCACAGGAACAGCAGACTGGTATCCAACCCATCACAGATGAGCTGAGGGGGTGCTGACCAGGCTCTGCACTGCTCACAGCCTGTTCCCCTCCCAGGCAGGGGCATCCACCTTCACTGAAGAATTTGCTACTGACAGCATGTAAGAGTAATGCATTTGTGACTCTGGCACTGGCTCAACTTTCCTGCTTTTATTTTGCTATCAGACTAGGCTACCCCATACACTATCTCTTTGGCCATGCTTAGGCAAGGCACGGGGTCAAGAGAGATGATAAATTCCCCTTGACACCTAGCAAAAGTACAACACGTTGTGGGACTGGGCTGAGTGTCTCCCAAGAAAGGTGAAAACAGGAAAGGGAGCCAGCTCCAGCTGCAAGATCAGTCACTGTAACAAGAACACAATAAGGAGATCCTTATCTGAGCAGGGATGCTTAGACCGTACTCCCTTGGAAGCCTTCCCTCCAGCATGCCCACCAGAACTTTGGTCTAATCACAAAACCAGCTTGCAGTCGGTGGGTCTCTGCTGCCAGGTAACAGCAATAGGACAAGAGGTGATGGCTTCAAGTAGCACCAGGGAGGGCACACTGTGTATTAGAAATAATTTCTACTCCAAAGGGTGGTCAGGTGCTGGCACAGGCTTCCCAGGGGTGTTCCAGGAACATGGAGATGTGGCACTGAGGGATGTGGGCAAAGCACTTCCAACACCACAGAGGTGATGCGGGCACCCCAGCAGAGCCCTCTGCATGGGCTCCTCCACAGCTACAATGTTTGGGGATTGAGAAGTGCAACATCCCTCCATCAAGGGAAAAGGGTATCGTATTCACAATGGGTGGGAGCAGTTTGCTTGGCAGAACTGGTTAATTTCTGGTATAGGGATGGAAGCAATTAATTTATTGTCATTATTTGACTGTAGAACTAAGCTTGTATAATAGGGAAGCAAGTCAGATTTCCTTAAAGGAAGTCCAGCAGCTGGAGAGTGTGAACACCCATGCAGATGGAATTAACTTGTGCAAGCAGAAGCAACTGCCCTTACAAGTCCTTAATACACACACATTGCTATAATAACTTTGAATCAGAACAGCATAGGATAGTTCCGTTTTCTCATTTTTACAGATGAAAAATATTTATTGTAGTCATGATCTAAAAGCAACTTGTTTCCCTTCCCGATTGAGCACACAGTTATCTGAATTACCACACTCATAGGAAAACAAATCACTTACGTACAGACTGTCTTTTGCCTCCAATTCTCTCCAGAGGGTTTGTGGATGAGTTAGGATCATCTAGAACACTGGAGGCACTAACTGATGTTACACTTTGCAGAGTAAGAAGCCTATTGCCTGTTATTTCAGCAGCACAGAGACTGGGAAAGGCACAGATATCTGAGGAGACTATTTCCATGGAGCTGCTCAGCCTACAGCATGTCAGAGATAACCAAACAGAGCCTCCACACACATCCTGCTGGTCCAAGAGCAAATAGTTGGCAGCATTCCTCTCTACACCAACAGTGTGCGAACTAATGATAAGAGAAGGGAGGGCTTAAAGAAAATAGGTTGAATAGATTTTTCCACAACTAAGACAGCGCTTCAGACTTCTGGACTAAACTAGGAAACCAAGAGCTGCAAGTAGGTGTGCAGAATGGGAAGAACCCAGCTGGAATGCCAGGAGCACACAGCCGCTGTTTCAGCTCCCTGCTGTGTAGTCCTGCAGAGGACCGGCTGCTTTCCTAGGACAGGTTGTTTCCCAATTATGTGTTACCAGGAATAATTTGCCAAAAGCTGATCCTGAGGGAATGGAGCCCCTTTCTTGGAAGGCAAGGCCTGCAGAACCCCAGCACTGAGGCTGCCGACAGATGTGTACAAGTGCAGTAGGTGAGCACACTGTGTTCTGGTACCACCCAGCCATCTCAGTGCTGCAGTTTCTCTTAACCAGGGTTTGATGCATTGCACGCATCCTCATGCACTTCCCCAGTGCTTTACTTGCACAGCTCTGACTTACACATAAGCCTCCAGCACACACGCTTCTGATGTTCATTAGTGCTCATTTCCATCTCACAGAGATCACCCACTCCTCCACGAAAGAGGAAGGGCCTTTTCTGTTCCTTGCTCCTGACTGGTTTTGAATATTTATTGCTGGTTTGTGATGCTGCACCCAGCAAGCCAGGCCTTAACAATTTATGATGCCTCAACTCAAAGCTTCCCCTGATCTCAGCTGCATGGCCAGCAGCACAGGACAGGTCTGCTGAGCTGTGGGGGACTGCAGAGCTGTGGGGGAGGTGGTGCATGCATGGAAGCCAGGCTGAGACCAGCAGGAAGCAGCTCTCCTTTTCCAAAGTCTGGAAATCACTTCCTTGAGATCTTTCTTTCAGCTCGTTCTGGAAACATCCAAATACCACTTTTCCTGAATGGCTGAAATACAATATTTCTTTCACATTTTAAAAAACAAAAGTCTCAGCCTGAACAAATACTCCAGACACTCCCTCCCTGCCGGATGAGAAGGATTTAGTAACTTGTAAATTGTACTTTATGGGTCTAGATTTAGCCCTTAGTCTAAGTCCCAAAATAAGCTCTTTAACCCATGTCCTGCTTTATGATTTCATATCTATAAATACTTGCTCAGAGCTAAGCAGGTTTCTGCATTAAGATCAACATCTGCTTCTCCAAGACAGCTGCATTTCCTCTGGCTCCAACACTACTGCGTTGGCTACCTGGAGTGGGGATCTCAGCACACACAGCCTTACTGAGGTTATGGGGGCCAGGCCATCACCATCCATCACCCTGCACCACCTGTAACTGCTGTGCCCACACAGAGCCCAGCAGCTCCTCAGCCAAGGGCAGCCTGACACAGAAGGTGCTGGTTCTCATAACAAAGCCCTGAATTCCTGATAACGGAGAGCAGCACCATGAAGCAAGACAAAGTCTCGAACACATAAATAGCTTTGCAGCCCAATTGTTAAGAGTTGCAAGGTCCAGCAGCAAGGCTGAACAGCTTGCTCAGTTGCTGACAGTGCTTGCACAAGAGAGCACAAGCACATGTCGATGACTAATGTGACTGCTTTGCACATGCAGTGGCTGCAGTGTTTACTACTATTGTCACTGCATGCCCTTATTACTTGCAAGTGGCTTTGGATGGAACAGATTTCACAGATGTGCACTGCAGAGGGCTCCTTCAGACACAGCCTCTGCTAGGAGAGCTCACTGTCCAATAGCAGCCCTGCCACAGCACTGCAGGGCAGGCACTGTACAGTGGGGAACACAGCTGTGGGTGTAGCCCAGGTGTGCACCTTCATCACAGGATACAGCTTATGAAGCAATATTGAAGGAACCTGAGTTTCCAACAGCCTCCAGTTGTTAAAAAGCCCCACATTTGGGGCTTAAAGGGCAGATTCCCAAACCCTAGCAGGATTCTCATGCACCTCTGCAGATCTGTGCAGTACTGACACGTCCCAATGCTGCAGCCACCCTCCACACGTGGAGAGTCCCACAGCCACAGCACAGCAGTGCCTCCCTTTCCTTCTGCCATTCCCCTGCTTTGGGTGCTTGCAGAAATCCATGCTAAAGAACCGAAGAAGTAAAATGCTAAAGAACCAAGAGTTATATTAACTGAGTAAACTTTACTTTGGCTTTGAACAGTGCTTTTAGCTTAGAAGGTTATTTTCTTCTCCTGAAAAAACCTGACTGAACGCAGTGAGAACAGTACACAAACCCCGGTGCCTTCTGCGGCCACAGTCCAGCTGAGCCGGCTCCAGGACGGCACAAGGTGCCAGCCATCACACTTTATCTTTGTTTCAAGTTTTAACTCTCCATTTAGAATTCAATCTAAACAACCCCTGTGCCAAGCAGAATGCCGTCCTGCTCATGCTGTTTTAATTTCCTCAGAAAGAATCCCATAATGCGCTAGGCAAGACATCAACAATAATTAAACCCAACAGTGATTGAAAATCAAATTTTCAGGGCCCTGCAACAAGTCCTAATGAGTTCCAGACCTGCCTTCCCGGCCTGCTCAGACCGGCTGCATGGTGCTGCCAAGCCAAATTAAAATCTGACAGTATTGCACCCTGTGCCCAGAAAAATTGCCCTTCTCATGATTCAGGAAATTAAACAGCCGTCTGCCACGAAGACACCCATTTGTCTTTGGGCGTATTATTCAGACAGATCCTGGCTCAGTGTTTTCTCTTGTTTTTGCTGTGCCATTCCATTTCCCGTTCAAAGTGCACAGCAGTGGGGATGGTTCCCCCCTGCCATGCTGTGTTCATGGCTGCAGCCCAGGTGAGCAGGGGCAGGCAGCACCGTGCAGACAGACACAGGGACGTGCAGCTCTGTGCTGCCATATCTAGGCACAGCCTGCCCAGATTCAAGTGAAGTGACAGCTGAAAGTGCCCCCTTGTCCTTCATCTGTGGGGAGCTAACACCAAGCCATGTGTTCTGGAAGGGCTGGCATGCAGAAGCCTTTCATTGTGTATTTCAAGCCCTCTGAGCTACCACTGCACAGCCACATGGCTCTGGCCCCTCAGGGATGATACTCAAAGCTCCCGGCCAGCATGCCCAGCGCAGACAGCTTTGTCCCACAGCGTTGCTGCTGCATGGCACAGCACCTCGCCTGCTGCTCTCACCCTATCCCCAGCCCGGGGCTGAGCCCTGAGCAGGACAGGGGACGAGCTGGTGCTTGATACCAACCAACATGCAGCCCCGGACACAGCAGTGCGGCCCACAGTTGCAGCTGGGACTGACAAAGAGGCATTTCCCACTCCTGAGCGCTTCTCGCTCAGCACTTGGTAAGAGCCTGCCCCCAGCAGTGCCCCAGGTACAAGGCTGCAGCGGACCCCGCGGCCACGCTGACAGTACTGCGCTGTAGGACGTGGGATGGCACCAGAGAAGGCCATCACCAAGCGCTGCCCCGTGCCCGCAGGACAGGGTCACCTCACCGGAGGGCAGCAGGAGCTGCAGACGGACCCCTCCCCCCGGGTCAGGAGAGGCTGCCCCGGCAGCCCCGCACCGCCCCGCACAGCCGGACACGGCTATCCAGAAGCGCTGGGGTTTCCGCTCACCTCCCAGCGGTGCAGCCACAAAAAGGCACCGCACCCCGCGAGCCCGCAGGAACCGCCGCTCCCCGGCAGCCCATTGGCCGCAGCGCTCCTCGCCGTTAAAGTCCCTTCCGCGCAGTTTTACACCACGCCAACGGAGGGCGGTCACTCGGGTTCATCTGCTTATCCCACGGTACCGCGGGGATGCGGGATTTTTCAGGTGGCCGTCAGCCCCGACGGCCCTCGCCCGAGGGTCGCGGTGCCCGATGCCGGGAAGGCGCTCAGCCGCGCACCACGAGCAGCCGCTGCTCCGGCAGAGCCGCGCCGGAGCGCTCTCGGACCGAAGGGCACGAACCGCCCTTCCACCGAACTTAGAAACAAAGGGGAGCGAATCCACCGATCAGCCGCAGGGAACGCTGACGGTGAGGAGCGCAGCCGCCCGAGCGCCGTCCTTGGCGGGACCCCGCCGGCAATCAGAGCGCTGCTGCAGCCCCTGCCCGCAGCGATCCGCCGGCGCGGCGGCACCCGCAGCGCACCGCGAGCACCGCCGGAACGGGACGCGGTGTCGGAAAGGCGCCCATCCCCGCGCCCCGCACGCACCTTCTGCACGCCGGGACTCAGCTCCATGCCGCGCACCGCCCGCAGCCCGCCGGTCCCGCACCGCACCGCCCGCCGCCTTTCATTGGCGGCGCCCGCGGCCCCGAACGGCCTTCGGCCAATCCGCCGCCGGCAAGAAACTTTCCCGCCCAATGGCGTGAGAGGGGGCGGGGCCTGAGGGGGAGCGCCGGGTTGCGCGGGGTCCGCGCTGCCTCGGGTCCGCGGAGCGCAGCGAAGGGGCGCCTCGGGTCAACAGCGGGCGCGGCGTCCGGCAGGCGGATGCGCGGTATTTTTAGCAGTACACGGCGTCTGAAGCCACGGCTCTCTTGGCATTGCAACGCGTTCCGAGCGACCAAACGTGCCCTCTGCGTGCTGGTACGTGGGAGGGCTGGGTCTTCTGCACGGTTTCTCACAAACATTGCAGTGCCCAGCAAATATCCTCCCTGTCCCGGTGATGGGAGGACTCACCGCCGCCCCCGCGGTTCAGGAGCCCGGGAGGAACCACCCCGAGCCACCAGAATCCCACCAGGAAAGGGGCTCCGGAGCGGTGCGTCCCTGGCCTTACACAGACATGTGGAGCGGGCATTGTTTGTCAGCCCCACGTCGCAGAGAGCTTGGCAGCCACCGAGAGCACTTGACATGGCAATGGGATGACATGATCTCACTTTCCCAGCACACATAGGCATGTGGTGACCTGGGCAGTAGGAAAGAATTCACAAAGATTCCTCAGCCCCGTGGGGCACAGCGGGGGGACGCTGCCACCTGCACTGCTGCCACCCCAGCAGTGATGTGCATGCAGGGAGGAGGGGGCTCTGCTGGGGCAGGGATGCACCCCATGGAGAATCCCGAGTTGTGTTTGTAGCTCTTGGGAACGGCTGCAAAGCGCCACAGCAGCTTGCAGTGGGTGCTGGCGGCGGGTCAGTGGGAAACCTTGGTCTGTCGGTATAGAAAAGGTGCAGAACCAAGTTCATACCTGGTGTAATCAGGCATACTGTTAGAAGATAACCAAAACAATCTTTGAGGAAGTTTCAGAGGCATCTTAGATGCTTTTACCTATAACAAAACGCATCTGGGATTATTGTAATTAATGATAACAGAAAAGACTCTACCCATGCAGTGAACTGCAGCTGATCATAGCCAGAGGGTGCAGTTTCAAGGGCAGATTATTCTGATGTTCAGGGACACCTGATGGCTGCTGGCAGAGGGAAGTTGTGCCCAGCTGTGCCCGGGCATCTCAGCCTCTCGGCTGGGGGATGGCCAGGCACAGTGGGGCACAGGGCACAGTGCTGCCTGCAGGACGCAGCCAGCCCAGCACAGCCTTGGGGGCGGCCGTCAGCTGAGTGCTCCAAGTGGCCGCAGGACAGCCGCCAGAGCCGTTATCACTGACGGCCTCTGAATAATGGCTGTGCTATACTTAGCTCAGTGCTAGGAAAAGACAAAATCACCCCATGACTAAAGGCTGCTAAATCTCTGCAGTAGTCATGTCCCAGAAAGTGAGGACAAATCGACGAGGGGAAGTGATGGTGGGGATCTCAGCTTCCTGCTGACTCGCAGCAGCGTGTGGCAGAGCCCTGCTGGGTCACCCAGGGGTGCTCTGAGCTCAGTGAGGCTCGGGGGGCTGCGGCAGGCAGAGCTGCTGGGTGTAGTGGCAGTAACACCCATTGGTAATCGCTCCTTAACCTAGCAGAGCTTCTCTCCCCTTCTGAAAAGATGCTGAAGGTGAAGGCAGATTTGCTGTCTCTTCCATGCCTGCAGCCACCTGTCTGCGGGGTGGAATGGCTGAGGACAGGGGAGGAAGGTGCTTTGGGCCGTCTGTGCAGGGCTGTCCTTTCCAGCACACCCCTCCCTGTGGCTGAGGTGTCTCAAGCAGCACAGCACACATTGCTCAGGTCGCAGTCTGTGTTCTCAGGTGGATTTGGCCAGGTCTCCTGCAGGAGGGTGGCTGTGCAGGGTGGGAAGGTCTTTCTCCAAGATTTCTTGATTTCTTCAAGAGTCCCGCAAGGAGGAAAGGGCCAAATTCCTGCCTGGAATTTATGCTGACCTGTTTTGTGGTGAAGAAATAAAAAGCGTCACTGCAGAAAGAGGAGCAAAGTTTTGCACTGCTGTGAGCCCTCCCATGCCACACAGGAGGTGGTGCTGCCAGGCTGGCACGAGCCTCACGGATGCTCTCAGAGCAGCGCAAGTCCCCATTGATGCTGCTAATATAAAATTGCTGCTTGGTTGCTCTGTGGCTGAGGCAAGTGAAAGTCTGGCTCAGAGACGATGGTGATGAGGAATGACCAGAGGTGCTGGCGATGCTGATGACGGGCTGTGCTTGCAGGCAGTGTCTGATGGCTCTGGCAGAACTGGGAGCACTGAGCCTGGGTGCTGCTGTGGGCTCCTGCCTGCTGAGCGCTGCTTGTGTGCTGCAGACTGGGGAGAGTGCTCTGCTTAAAAGGGATCACTCCAAAGTCTGATTTGTTCTCTAGTGAGAGTATTTGTGATATTACAGTCCTGGCTATTTTTCAGTTTTTCTCTTTTGTACAAATATGAAGGGATAAAGCAATTAGAAAATGTTGCTCTGCAGCTGGGTCTGGTTTTGCTCCTTTTCTATGAGCATAGGAATGAAAATGCAGATTTTGTTGAAATATTGTTGAAGAAATTTTCATTTCCTGGATCCTCAATAAGAACAAATTGATTGGAGGAGAAAGACAGAAAAATAGCTGGAAGAAACTGATCAGAAAGGCAGACGGGTGGCAGTGAAAGCCTGGCAGCTCCTCTTCTGTTGACTGTCAAATGCAACAAGCTGAATCCCTGCATGTATTGGTTTTGCCTGTGGTTATCTGTAGAGATGTATGGTTGCAACAGAGAAAAAAAAAACCAAAAAACACACAAAAAACCCCCCACCAAAAAACAAAAAACAAACAAACAAAAAAACAAACCAAAAAGCCAAACCAAACAAAAAACAACAAACAATCAAACAACCCCACCAAACCAACAACAAAAGCCCCCAACAAACTGCATTTTCAGCTCCAAGAGGTATTTTGTGTCAACATCCTGATTTTTTTCACTGGTAGTGATCAAGTGAGTCATCAGTTTGTAGTCAGAAATAGATCCAGTAACGCAGATCAAAAAATACAACAGCAATGCGTGTGGTTATGAACGCAGCTGTTGTGATATGGCTTTCCTAATTTGGCCATATTCATGCAAGGCTTTCCTTCCAAAGATTTACGCAGTTGGTTTCATCATCAAAGGATTATTTGTAGTGAGTAAAGCTCTTCAAATCATGTATCAGTCTCAGTCCCTGACTTCAGTAATACTGTCAGTACAGAAGTGACAAATAGCATCGATGAAGAAAATGAATCATCTTTTTTGCCTTTTTATTTTGAATAATCAAAGACTTTTTCCTCTTCTGCTGCCCACACCGTGGGCTTGTAGGAGTTGTTCCCCTGCTGAGTTGGGGCTGCTCTGCAGCGTGCCCAGCAAAGGGGCTGGGAGGAAACAGAACTTCCTGGGAGAGCTGAGGGGAGATGCAGAGAGGCAAAGCAGTGTCCACTGAGGGATGCTCCGGGGGAAGGGAGGTTTCAGCTGATGCCCGTGTCTGTCAGAGGTCCGCAGACGGATGTGGGGACATCGGCTGCTCGTGTGCTGGGAAATGCACGCTCTGCTGGGCAGCACAGTGCTGTTTGGAGCCCGGCTCATAGGCAAGGAGCAGCTGAGGTGAGCAGCCCTTCGTCCCTCTCGTCTCAACTCCCTTCCTTTTTCCCTTTTTCGGAGCAGACCATTCACGTCCCATTAACGCAGGGTAGGATTTATGCCGGTGATTTAGGAGGTGCGAATCACCCACTCCTGTCTCAGACACTTTGCCAGAAGTCTGGCACGCAACCCCCGTGACATGACATGGACATTCCGCCTATTTGTCTCCATTCGTCCATTGGTTCTGTGTTAATCTTGTTTATTACCTCGTTGTTACTCTTTAAAAAATGCCAGCTCATTCATCTCGGAGCGGCTCCCACTCACATGCTGTCTGCTAATTTGATTTAAGGTGCTGTAAGTCCTCAGACCTGTCACCAGGAAAGATGCCTCCTCCGGGCTCGGGGCTGCTTCAGGGAACTCCAGGCTGGAGTCAGGGCCGAGATGGATGTGGTACTGAGACACATCTCTGTCCGCAGAGAGTCCGTGTGGAGATAAACACATCTGAATGACACTTTCCAGAGAGAGTCCTTATGTTTTCATCACGGCTGACCTCTGCCGTGGGGACCTCAGCAGCAGGGGCACGTTTCCTTTCCATGTCCCGCAGCAGAGGTCACAAAGACACAGCAGGTGTTGGGTGTTGAGCCCACCTGAGCCCATGCAGCGCCCCATCCTGGAGCAGGGCCGTGCAGCCGGCTGTGCTGCAGTGACTGACGGTGACCTGTCTGCACACGGAGCAGCGCTGCGTGCACCGCTAAGAGCAAACTCCTTCCTGAAAGCTCTGCGTGCTGACCGCCCCGGGGCTCTCCCAGCAGGATTTCCTCTGGCTTGAGAAAAGCTGCGCTCTGCCCCTCCTGCATTTACACCCAGAGCACAGGGG